GTAATAAGCTTACAAGGTGTATGCTGCATGTTGGAAGGACTGAATGTGCATAAATTAGGAAAACACAATTGTGTTTTGATCCAACAAGGGGACCATTCCTCTATTATGCTATTACATGTGACAAAACGTTCCTCTCGAAGTAATTTTTCTTCTTCTTATGATTTTTATACCACACTTTATATAGCGCCCTAGTCCAAAACGGCTGTAAGGCGCTTTACAATATAAAGAATAAAAAATAACACCTATATGTTAAGAATACAATTTATAATACAATTAAAATAATACATAAAAATACAAAGATACATGCAAAACTGTGGTGTCAAAAACAACACTTCCCGGTGCCACCGGAAGACCACACCCAAAATGTGTCACCCCAACTTCGCCGGCGTCGCTCCCCGCACCCACAGGTGCTAAAAGCAACATTCAGCGGCACGGAACAACACGTAACAACAATGGCAAGGGTGTTTGTGCAGATATGTTAACCGTAAAAATACGAAAAATTAATTAAAATATTTCATAAAAAGATGTGTTTTAAGAGATTTTTTTTTCGAACGAACCGACTGATTCGGACAACCTAACACCAAGGGGAGTGCGTTCCACAGAACAGGAGTCACCTGATGAAAAGACCTATTTCCAAAACCCTGTGTCTTAGTTATTGGAACGGACAGGAGGAAGTGATCTGCAGAACGCAAGGCCCTAGATGGTCGGTATTGCTGGATCATAGAACTAATATAACTTGGTGTTAGCCCAGGAAGTGCTTTATAAACAATCAGTAAAATGGGTGTAATATGATCACGTCTACTCGTCTTAGTAATTATTCTAGCAGCTGTATTTTGAACTCGTTAAAGCTGATTCATAAGATCGCCCCTCATGCCATATATAAAAGGGCATCAGCATAATCACGTCTAGACCCAACAGTGGCTTGAACAAGGGCCCTACATGCATCGTCACTAAGAAACCTCCATATTTTACTGATATTACGTAGCTGGTAATGACATATCCGGGATATATTGCTAACATGCTTTTGCATATCCAAATTCTTATCAAATAGGACGCCAAGGCTCCTGACTTTACCCGAGGGATAAACAGTACAGTCATCCGCCATAAGCGACAATTTCTCTTAGAGACCATTTAGTTTCTCTTGGACAAAAACGATGAACTCAGTCTTATCTTCATTTTTTTTAAGACCGTTAATACTTAACGGAGTTTTCAACTTCAGCAAACATGCCTGAATATTACTAATAGCAACAGCTAAATTTACAGGGGATGTTTTGACTATAACACATTCCTGAAAATCATTTACATAAAGATGGCAAGAAAGACCATGCCTACTCAAAATATTGGCAACGGGCCTTGTTTAAATACTGTATAATTTCGGTCCCAAAACGGAGCCCTGAGGTACCCCATACTAAACTACTTTCTCATGGGAGCAGATATCTTTAATCATAACGCTCTGACATCTATTGGACATATACAACTTAAACCAAGTCAAAATATCCCTGGTAATGCCACATGAATGCTGAAGGCGACGAAGAAGAATTGTATGATCAACTGTGTCGAAGGCAGCTGACATGTCTAACATAAGAAGCAGCACAACCTCCCCATTATCAGGTGCCTGTGCAATGTCAGACTGAACCTTAATCAGTGCAGTTTCTGTTGAGTGTAGTGGTCTGTAGGCTGCCTGAGATATGTCATGCAAATTGTTATCGCAAAGATGATCATCAAGTTGCAAAGATACCACCTTTTTAACGATTTTTGACAAAAACGAAAGGTTAGATACTGGCCTGTAATTCTTCATCTCTTCCGTACTCAGACCCGTATTCTTTAACAAAGGGCGAACATTGGCTTTTTCAAGGATGATGGGATCACTGCACTCTTAAGAGACTAATTTACTATTTCAGCTACCCTCGACGCTAGAACATCAACACTGGCCTTCAGCAGCCATGTGGGGATTGAGTCTAAATCACATGATTTCGAAGGTGAGGATAAGATAAGCCTTTTCACTTCTAAATCAGACACCTCAGTGAAGGAGCTCATCACCAAACCATCAAACATCATGTCCCCCTTTAAGGGGTTAACCACGTCAGAACCAGAAATATGAAGAGAAATTCTAAGATGCCGAATCTTCCGTAAATAAAAATCATTGACCTCATTGGCAAGTACCCTGGGACACTCATGATGCGGTAAATCAATTCCTCCCGATTGACCCATTAAATGATTCATTAATTTAAAGAGAGCTTTCATATTCTGCCCACTATCAATGACTTTATTTGAATAATAATTACTCTTGGTCTGTGTCAGGAGTCTGTTGACAATGGCACATTGGTCGCAGTATGCTTGAAAATGTACTGTTAGTTTTGTACGTCTCCACGGTCGTTCTTTTCTCTTGCGCTCCCGTTTTGCCACTCGAAGTTCATCAGAGTACCAGGCTGCCGTGCGTCGTAAAGTAATTGTTTTCTTTTGACAAGGAGCATGCTTATCGACCAATGTAAGCAACTGCAAGTTATAACACTGAATCAGGTCACTAGTTGACTCCTCGTTTGCACTGACTCCATTAAAACACTGTATGTCACTTATGAAGTCAGCAACATAAATAGATCGAAATCTGCGAAAAAACACTTTTTCACAAGTTGGTTTGGGACAAACTGAGAAAGAAAAAAAGCACTGCCATGTGGTCACGTAAGCGTTTCCCATTTGAGTCAGTAAAACACGGATCCAACACAGTAGGTTTATCTAAATACATCTAATACATTTAATATTGGTTCCACATCAGACAAGAATAAAGATATACACGAATAGTTTGGAATTTCAGGCTAGTCATGGTGAAAGACAGCAATAGGTGGAAGGTCTTGCGGTAGCACCATGCGAAGGAAGAAAGAGATATATTCCTTCGCATGGTGCTACCGCAAGCCTTTCCACCTATTTCATGAATTGGCCTACTATGTTTTTCACTATACACTGCATTATCATAAGCTTACATGGGTGGTGAAGTTCAAGCAATTATCGTAAAGAATCTTTGCAAATACATGTAAAGGTGGGATGTGTCCTCTAAACTAGGAAGAATGATAGTTCATAAGATTTGCCTATAGTAAATTGATATGTATTGTAGCGAAATAGTCAGTGGACTAATACAAGTTTGTTCAGAAAAATCTGGCCCCCTGACGTATGACGCACTTAGTGGTGTGCAGTAAGTAATTTCTAGATAGTTCGTCTCCAGATGCCAAGATAGAAGCACCATCGTGTAGTGTGTGGAGGGCTGCGAACTGTGAGACTTATGAGTAATTGCTTGGGAGCTATCACCTATTACAAGTATAGGAGGGAGTGTTAGCTTGAGAGACTGAAGGTTGAGCAGAAGTGGCTGGGAACGTTAAGGCTTGTGAGGCTTGCATCTGCAACGGTGTTCCCACTGTAGAAATTGGGTTGCTGGAAGCCAGCCGGCCTTGTCGTGGTAGTCACACTGATGAGGCTTACTCAAAGTTCCGAAACCTAAGCCAATTAAGGGTTACACATCTCTGGTGTTTGATACGAGGGTTACTCTTGTATTTATTGAGCAAGCGTGTGCAGTTGTTAC